CCTCCGACAAAAGTAGAAGTCCTGGACGCCATAAAGCTACTGAAACACGGGAAAGCAGCAGGACCAAATGGAATCCCGCCAGGAGCACTGAGACCAGATGCAGGGACAACAGAGGACATACTCACACCACTATTGCAGAAGGTTTGCAAGGAAGGAAGGAAGGAAATGTACCTGCCAACTGGAAGAAGGGCTACCTTGTCAAACTCCCAAAGAAGGGAGACCTAAGTCTCTGCAAGAAGTGGCGCGGAATCATGTTCCTATCCACCCCAAGCGAGATATTATGCCGCATAATCCTGTAGAGACTAAAAGATGCATCGGATTCAAAACTACGACTGAAACAGGCTGGCTTGATTCAGGAAGTACAAATCATGTGCGGATCAAATTTCAACGCTTCGCATCATCATAGAACAGAGTATGGATTGGCAGTCAACCCTCTACCTCAACTGCATCGACTTTGAGAAGGCCTTTGACAGCATTGATGGAGAAGTAATTTTCCAGGCAGCTGCTGCCTCAACACTATGGAATACCACAAACCTTTATCAATCTCATTCAACAGCTATATCCTCTGGTGTATGATGCTACATGTCAGTTGATTCACAATGGGAAACTCAGTGATGCTTTTGAAGTGAAGACAGGAGTAAGACAAGGTTGCCTACTATCACCGATGATCGTCCTGATTGTGGTCGAAACCGTGAGGAGCGAGAGGATGGGAATGCGCTGTTTGACCGATGTAAAGATACTAGGAGATTTCGATTTAGCCGATGATGATTCATATCTTATATCTTTTGTCGCACAAACTCGATGATCTACGGGCAAAAACCAAGAAGTTGACAGAAGAGGCAGCGAAAACGGGACTTCAGGCGGACGTAGAGAAGACAGAGGTGGTGAAGATACCCAAACAACAACAACAAGTACCAATCACGATGAACGAGAGAAACCCAAGGGAAGTAGTCTCTCACCTACCTGGGTAGCATCGTTCCAACTACAGGCGGCACAGATGAGGACGTCAAAGCCAGGATCGGATAGACAGCAAGACAGGCCTTCGTCAATCTGAAATTAGTGTGGAAATCTACTGCACTGCATTTAGCATAAAGAACAAGACCCGGATTTTCAACACTAATGTCAAGTATGTCAGTGCTTCTATGTGACGGTCCAGAGAGTTGGGGCGTTACGAAAAGCATTCCCAACAAACTGCAGACATACACCAGCAGCTGCCGCCTACGCTCACTCGATACTGAAGATCAGATGGCTAGATAAATGGCGCAACAAATATGAAGAAGGAAGTGGAGACGAATTGGGCATACACTGAGAAGACATTTGGGGACATCACGCGCCACGCCAGGTCAGGCTGTCGAGTGGCAGAGAAATGGTAAACGACGAGTTGGGCGTCCGAGGGTGACATGCAAGAGATGTTGTGAGGAAGAAATGAAAGCTTCTCAGCAGTCGTGGTGCCAGGTTGAAAAGACTGCAGAGAACAGAGTGAAATGGCGACGTGTCACCGAAGCCCTATGGTTCCACTAGGAACCTAAACGACAAATAATAATAAAATGTTGAAAACCAACGCTACTTCAAAAATACAATCATGATTTATAAGTTAATTATAAAAAGTACAATGCAGTTCATACTAAATAACTTTATTTGATGCAGTACACAAGGATAAATAAAGCCTTAGGAGAAATTCATGAAAACATATGTTCGTCCAAGTAATTCTTGTTTCAAATATCCACTGGAACTTTTTAAACTATTGAAGTTTTGTCGCATTGAGTTGATAGAATCCTTAAGCTGACTAGATCTAAATAGAACTCAGAGAAAAACTTTGTCAGCTTAAGGGTTCTATCCACCCAAATACCTTTCAATGATTATACAATCAAGTAAAATAAGCGAGGCCAGCCGATCTAGATCAGTTAAGCTTTCAAAGCATACGAACTAAGCTAAATTTAAAACGCTACACCTTTTTAAGATAAGTAATCTGGAGAAAAATTTAGCTATTACTATCCATGCACTAATACACAGCAGTATAGAATAGAGCAATAGTCCTAAAGATCGGTATATATAGGTGGGAAGAAATGTTGGTCACTAATTCTGTTTTTCGATGCAAAGCTCAGGATCTGCAACAGGAAAGATTCAGTACTCAACGCAGACATATGAGAAATTGTACTACCATTGAAATCGAAGAATGAAAAGTAGTAGAAATATATTAGTTAAGCTAGAAAGTCATATGATCACCATGATGCAATTATCAGTAATAGATTATCCTTGAAACGTCATCTAGGACATAATACTGCATCATTGTACGCTATATCTGATAATCTTGTTTAGCAAGGAATTAAGTTCCACCACATGTGGATGATCTTGGTTATAGTGTGTTCTCTGAGCTGGGTGGTTTAATCATGGAGATTTTAGCGTCTTTCTAGATGACATTATCAGCACCAACTTCCATATGAAGTACTGATGATATCAACTAGAAAGACGATGAAAGCTCGACGATTAAACCACCCAGCTCAGAGAATATAATACAATCAAGATAAGTTCTACCACACTACTCTTACAGTGAGGAAATTCAATACGCATGTATATAATCATGTAATAGACAATCAGCTACATCTGCTTTATGATGGTTGATGAACCTGGTTGCCAAAAGTGCATTAAATGAAGTGGGATTACATCCAATGTTTCAGAACTGATTTCATAATCTTACAAGCTACAAGTGTATAATAAGTAAATCACCACAATAAAAGACTAATTCGTACCCAAGAAACTACGATTAACCTTTATATGGGCGTTTTGTTTTATCATTAATTAGTACATACAGAATTTAATCATAAAAAAGAAATGACAAGTTGAACTTGATAAGACATTTTATCGTACGTGAACAGACCAACATGATCACCAAATCTTAATGCACACTTGGGGAGATATAATCGCTCAAATTAATATTTTTCATTGTAAATAACCTTTTAGCTCCACCCGTATCACCTAGAATGGACTCGAACAATCGGGAACTAGAATGTTCGAATGCCAAAACTGGAACTAATGACTCATACAGTCTACCACCTGTAACAAATAACTTACCTCATATACAACTAACGTCTAATGTTCTGTAAGCATCAAATATATTGTTTTTACCTTATCAGTAAACCCTTGTATTTACGAATTTCCTTAAGAAAATACAAGATGTTGTGTTCGTTTCCTTTTAATTTCTTAACGTCAGGAGAACATGTTGTTTTATTTTACTGAGATATATTAACAGTGTGTATAACAGATATTTATTTATTAGATACGAAGGTCAAAAATGAAATCTTACTCCTCAAGGCTGACTAACGAAATTGCTATTCATATATGAACTCACAGCTTTCGTTAACTGCGATAATATGAACCTTGAGTTCGCACTATACAATTAAAACAATTTCTATACTGACTGATTCTATGTAGAGACTAGTTAGTGGATTGAAATTTTCTATACATCAAAACAATCTCTTATCAGGTAAGACTAAATAGTACTAGAAAGCTGTTGCGTTCTAGATTGGTACTCTTTAACAGTGTTCACCTTTATCTTCATATACTGTTTAGTGAAGTTACGCCAAGAAGTCAACAGTCTCTTCATATAGTGTAAATCTATGATTAATCATATATTGGTGTGATTATTTAAATGCTCCCAAAGCTCTACTTCTAATTGATTCAACATAACCGCAAAGAAATGAAGACATTGGATATTCACAATACCAATGCCTGGTATAGGCAGTGAGTAAGTGTAGATGAGTTTACTGACCTGGAAATCGCATTAAACCTTATAGCCTATGCAACGCTAGGACACATATTACGAAATATTCATGTGTCTCTAACCGACCTCTACCACGCACCGCACAAAGATGTTCGATACCTTTTAAAGACTTAATGTAATGAGCAACAGATAGAATTTCTCACTTTGCACAGGTTAGACACGGCAGATAGAAAAAGTTAGATTTCGCATATCCAGCGCCTAGAAAATAATCATTTGTGTCTAACAGAGTCAGTGACAGAGCAAAGTTGAGACAAAAGAATAATATTGAATCACATGACACTGGTTTCTTGATGCAATAGGCTGGGTAGAGTAGACATGATATGAAACTCTCTGGTTAGTGACATTGAAAATGAGACTAGTCAATGATATCGGTAGGAATCGATTCGATCTGTTGGATTAATTTAATCTTTTGTTGGCGAAATCTGAAATATGCATCTTATTACTCGCTGCCTTAGCTTGTCACTTCCTACCTACTGCTTTAAGAGGCCTGTCATCGGGTTCATTCTCTAGCTTTGCTGATCATGAATCTCGGTGTCTCTGGCCTATATACTTGTCCCAACTTCACCGTTCTTGTTTACCCGGCTAAGCACAAAAGTCATATAATCCAAGCATTTCAACCTGGTTAACAATTCTACAAACACTGTTATTAGGTTCAACATTATGATTACACGCCTAGTGGTCGCAACATTCGATCTGTATAGTCACGTTGAAAAAATGCACACATCTTTCTACTACCATCTATTCTTAATGGTCATAATGAAAAAATGTATCGAACAAAATAATCAAAGTATAGTGAATTGGTTGATTTTATCCCACTCCTAGATTGTAATATAACTACACAGCAGAATAGAAGGCATTATTTAACTGTACAATTTATCCTCGATGAAGGGACTGATAGACTAAACTGTAAGGTCGATTTATTTCTCGAATCCTAATGACCAATAATCCGGACGATATTAAACAGTTAAACAACCAGATGACAGTGACTCCAGTTTTATTAATACTAAGAAGTGAGAAATCATACAGCCTAGAATAAGTATTATGGTTCAAACAAGTTTGAGCAAAAGAATCTATCTGTCTATCTATAGAAAACTCTGTAAACTGATGACTCATATGCACTAAAAATGTCAGTCATCTACAAAATGAACTTAATATTGTATTGATAAGCACTTAAACTTTCAGATAAAAGTAAATTCTACGAAAAAAACATGACTTGAGTTTAAACATGATGTTCTACTATAAAATCATCAATTTGTTTACGATGCATAGAGGTTTTCAAACCCATTTGTCTACTTTGATCCAAGATTTGATTAGCTTGTAGTAATAATTGTTTAACAGACTCTTGATTGTTCGACATTATTTTAACTACAGCTAACTGTAGTAATGAATGTATTAGGGTATATAAAATTTGATATATCTCATACTGTTTTGAATAATTTGATTTCAAAAGATTAGGATCAATTTTGTATTCATCAGTAAAAGATTGATATCTCGTTTGACTTGCTTCAATCACTTGTTCAAGAGTATGCTGAGATTCTTTAAACTGATTTAGATCTACTTGAATTGCACTAATATCGATTAGTATATTTAAGCAATTTGGATGATCCAGAGGGTAGATCTGACTGGCAATGTTATAAGCACGTTGAGCATAAACTAAGGCTTCTGTTGGTCTTCGATTTGTAAAAAGAAATCTGGGAGTTGAATTTTTAAAAAATCAATAGATATTTTAACGATTAATAAGTTTTTCTACAACCAATGAAAATAAACGGAAAAATAACTCATCGAAGTTTCACATCTTGAAACAACCTAGAAAACTTTGACGTTCGTACTTTAGAGTTACATTGATCAAGTAATCAGTACTGGTTAGGTTAAAACTGTGCGCTCAACATCAAACATGTGACAGTCAGGAAAATAAAACTCCCATGTCCGGGAAATACCAATACTAAAATAAGCCACGGCCACTCAGTGTAGACAATTAAAAATGTTGGAGCACAGATATAGTACAATAGAAAAACAACAATCATACCAGTTAGTGGTTTCAGTGAACAACAATCAAGGTAGTAAGGAAAGCAAGTAAGAAACAGTACCGAGAACCAGATCGAGGCATAGTTTAAAGATTACAGTTAGCCAGTTTCAGTCTCAGAAGTCAGATATCGCTATTTCAAGAAGAATTTCACCCACCAACCTCGTGCAAATTTCTGCAGTAGGCAATGGACCAAGCCTACTGTGTAAAGACTAATGATACTACCTGGTTGTCTGAACCTCGGTAAGTGAAGTGGTGCTCGGACCCCCAACTAACTAGTTGAAAGTCAACTCCCTGAGCCAATGAGCCACAACAACACCTGTAGCCAACTACCCTCACACAACAAGAACAATTTAAAGTGTTCTATGTAAACACAATATCTTACATATTCACTATTTTATCCCGTCAATATATGGGTTATAAGTAACCATATCTGTCAAATTCAGTTCTTACTCCAATATTACTGTAAGAAAACGACGAAGGATGAGACGCAGGAAGGAATGTTTATTATTGATATCTTGTACAGTAGTAATGAAATATTGTACACTTCCCATTGAAATATTCATTTGCACATGTTTCACTTCATCTTCTTTTCTATTTCGTTTTGCTCTTCATACGCCCCGCATTGTCCCCTGTGTTTCTCTGGCTAGAATATTTACCCATCGCTCGTAATTGCCTATAACTTTTGCCGACCTCTCAAAATATGTTACTTATATCTATTCTTATCAGTAGTACCCACTAAATTACATAATAAAATTGATATGTCAAATTATGTAAAGCAGTTTGTGCATGCTGCAATGAAGAGGTCCGTTTGGAAGAGAAAAAGTTCAAGCAGAGTAGACAGCTTTTCAATGGTATAAAATCATACAGCTCACTATCACTTCAATAAATTTCATGACAAGAAAAAAATCTTTAAGGAAAATATATCTACTTCTTTTAGAAAAAGAATGCACGGCATCCTTAACAATATCTCCAAGAGAAGACAGAAATCATTCTGCGTCTGCGTTGCTAGATTCTTGGAGATAAAGTACTCAGAAAGCGGTTGGTTAGAATCACCTATCTTCTATACGCATCTATAAGTTTACCAGGCGATCCGGAAATAATTAGATACTTAAACCGTTGACCTGTAAAAATGACAGACTTCTAGACATTCAATTAACATTGAAGTATTTCATCCATAAAAAAGAATGTTTAAAAATACAGAGATAAAATTCAATGTTTCCATGAAACATCATGAGAAAAAATCTGTATATTTGCGACACTGTAGAAATACAATACAGCTATCATCGTCTATAGGTACACATATTATAGAAACAGGTCACAGGATTGATCCCAAAACAGCCTTTAGCAGTCAAGACTTTATACTTGGGTTCATTAAAGCCTTAGCTATATGAAAGTCCAAATCCCCTTTGTGTATTCAAAAACAATTCATTCTTACTTTAAACCTTCTTTGGTAATCTTTATCTCATTTTAATGCCAAGGAAGGTGTAAAAACTTATTCCGCCTCCTTATTATCCTCATATTTCCCAAATATTACACTATCTTAATTTATTTACCCCACCCTATTTTCACCTTTCACAAAAAAAAAATGCATTGACAAGTAAATATATAATCAGTTGGTTAGAAATGTACTCTGCGAATACATCACATTTTTCAGATAACCTCCATCTTCTGATTACACTGTGCAAAACACAACATTCATCGTAGTTACTACAGACACAGACTTATTTCAATGGAAGTTTTTCTTAAGGAAACTTGAACAGTTGACTGAACTATTTCAAAACTAGCTACCAGCGCACGAAAAGAATAAGATTCGAGATTTCGCATGTATACTACCTGACTTACAGAGACTTGCACAATTTTTCAAATTCTCCCGATTCCTTGGTTTCAGAATTTTATGAGAAAGAAGAAAAATAATTTTACTTTTCTCGGCAAATCAAGTCATTTAAGCATTTCTAAGTTTATCTATGAGGAGTCACAGAAAGTTATCATCATTAACAAGGTAAACTATTCCCATTATAGATGAACGCAGGTAAATTAACTGTAGACAGTTAATATTTGATGATGGGCTTTACATTGTTTGGAACGATTCTAAGGATTCTGTTAGCTTTAACCTTGCTTTGTCGTAACAGTAGGAAAGATCAAAGAAAGTAATTGAAAATAATCACTTATATGCCAGCATAACTTACTTGGCAAAATAGTTACAGCACATCCCCAGTAAAGCTTTTTCATTTGTACAATCTATATCTTCATCCATATTAGTCAATTTTTCTTCTTGAGTTTGAATACAAAATCGAAAACCAGTCTCAGCATCAGTCATCCTATCAGACTTTTCAAATATTAATGCCATTTTAAGTGATAATTCAACAAACACAGAATCATTTGGTGATAATCCCCTGTTAAACAATCCTCCATTGTTTGTCTGATGAGCTTTTCTGCAGCTGAATGATTACCCATAAGTAAGTTCAAATTAGCCATTTCGGAACAGATACGCGCACGTTTATTGACGTACTCAAGATCAGTTAGCTGTTTATTTTGATAAGACTGATTTGCAAAATACAATAGTTCGTGTAGTTTATCATCTGCTTCTTTGAATTCGCCTTTAGCTATAAGAAATAAGCAATCATTAAATGATTGACGAATCTGTTCATGTACATCCTTCTCTTTTAAAAATTCAAAAGGCCACCAAGCGAATGGGATAGCAAAAGATAATGTTTTAATAAATGTTGGTGAAGTTTGAGAATTACATTGCGTATTTAATAATCTAAAATATGAAATTTAACAGGCGTGAATAGATATGTTATTATTGAGGTTCTTAAAAGGCGTGTTTCATAATGTCATCAGAAAAATAATATTTTACAGGAATAACTAATGAAACGGTGTTATCTTACACAGGTTAGATTGCATTTTATTAGTTACTTGTCTATTACACACTTAAGTTTGACTGTTAGACAGATTAATAATAATAATAATAATAATAATAATAATAATAATAATCAATAAAAGTTAAGGGTGAAATTGAGACCTCACAGACAAACAACTCAATGTACAACCTGGCACTAAGTGCATTGGTTCAAGTTGCCAAACTTTGCAAAAGTATGTGAAGAAGAAGTTTATTGAAAAGGAATGATGATAAAGCAGGCAAAAGTGTAGTCGAATATACAGATTAAAAACATAAATTTTAATCATCACAATGACCAAAATTTTAACAACAGGGTGCATACATCTGTACAGTTATGATTGGTTTTGTGTCACACCACCAAGTCTAAAACCATTGACTCTAATCATCCTGAGAACCCTCACTTAGTCAAAAATTCCAAATGCATTCAGTAACCTTGTGCATGTTCACACAGTAGGCAATATATCAAGCCTTTTGTGTGACGGCTAAAGCCACTACCGTACTATCCAAAATCATGTAGGTGGGGCGAGGATAGAAACCATAACCCACTGGCTGAAAGTCAACTACCTAACCACTGAGCAACGCATTTCATCACTTCATATCATAATCAAGAACTAGAAACTGAAGCAGATCAATCCTGAAGCCTCATCTCACACTAGTCAGGTGAGAAACTCATGTCAAATATTCTCGGATTTTCACTCATGGCGTTCGAAAGGCTAAACTTCGTCATTATTTTCATCTAACAGGACTATATTGTACCTTTAGTAAATTGAATGTCAAAGTTAAATAAAAAAGGTGTTAGCGAACATCTCTGGCAGACACTAGTTTCCGTCCCCTTAGACGGCGACTATATGTATGTATTTACACAGCTGGGCGAGATCATGTAGGGAGCTCTGATTAACATAATGCAATCGCTCTATACTACCTTCACAGTTAAACAACTTCACATCTCTTGCTAGATGAAGTGGAATGCGGTTGTAGTGCACCTTCCTGACATCCAAATGCAACTAGGGTCAAAATAAATAGATTAAATTGAACTGACTAAATAATCTTCTAACTCGCCTCCTCCACTTTTTAAGGCTTACGATTTCAAACTGTCAAACTCTGCTGCTTCGAATAGTTTCATTTTGAAACAACCCTTTGTTCGGTCCTGGTCATTTAGAAGAATCAATCTGAAATATTAATCTGTATATTACCTATCAAAAGACTCTGTATGGTTCGCACTTCTGTTTTAAAATTATGAAGATCAACACAATGATGATTTGAAATCTAATTTCCAAAAACTTCAATATTTGTCTTATTCAGGGTTTCTGAGACAGCTCACGAGTATAGTGTATTATAAACCAGTCTATTCCTGATGAAAATTCGGCACCAAAGAGAGCTCTAACCGTATATCAGAAAGTGAGTATATTACGCAGCAGTCTATTCTGTCTCAATCTACAAATACAAGACATAGTCATTGAAGGTGAACAACATATGGAGGCAAGAGGTATTGAATCATTAGGTTTCGGAAACAGTTTACCTGTAGTTGAGTCAGGGTAGGCAAACGTGTAATTATACTCAGGTGCCTAGGCGAAGAAGGTAGGTTACCTAATGACTAAGGTGGTTGAGTCACTTGTCATACACGCCTTATCAAAACAGACAATGAGTACTGTCATTTGACTAAACAATCTTGGATGCTTTCTGACATAGTGCCTAGGCACCTTATTTGTTGTTCATATGACAGGGATAACTCAACAGGTGACAAAGTAACCTAATGTTGTGTAAAAATAGAATTATTGTTTGTTTGTTCTAATATTGCACATAAAAAACAAAACATATGTCTAACACCTACAATACAATTACTTAATGTAGTATAAAAAGCCTTCAGAATTTAGGCCCTGCGAACCTTTTGAGATCGTAAGAGAAATCTGTCCAAGTTGAAATCTTATGAAAATTTGTTCTGCTCCGAAGATGATCCTCACTATAAGTCGATATGATCAGGCTTATAATTATCAAATATTTGTTTACAACTTTGACTGTGTATTCAGAAGTGTCGGCTCCTCTGGTTGCACCCAAACACATGAGCCTATGAAATTAATCTCTACTCAATATTCGGTGGAGCTATGGTTCACCAATTTAAGCACTCTACTCCTAACTGATATGTCATGGGCAAGAACCTCGCTCCAACTACCAAGTTTTGGGCACCACGGTAATATTGCTATGATTCACTGCGTTCTGAAAGAATACACACATGGTTGCTGAGCGCATTTCGACTGGATCCGGCCTAACAGTAGCTAATTTTCAGACAGTTGTTTCGAGTTTTAATAACAATTTATAACCTTTAATCAGGTGACAGCCATGAGAGAACATCAACACACATGACGCTACAAGATGGATTATAAAACATTGCCAGTTGATTAGGATTTTTAAAAAGTGAGCGTAAAAACTGTAGAAGTGACAGAGCTTGAAGATTTCATCAACTGGTTTAATGTGGAAGTGCTCAGTTTAACTCAGTCATAGTTTTCATGAATACCGAATTTGTTTGGATATGGTTCTTCTAAATGTATCACATAAAATCAATTATAAATTTATGAAATCAAGAAGTTATCGGTAAAAGTTACTGGTTCATCAAGAAGATAATTCTTTTTATCATATCTAGACACGATTAAACACACTAGTGATTCCGCAACTTATTGTCTTTTAACTCGTCATTAATTACGTCAATGTAATTAAGACAACCTTCTTAAACATCCTATTCTCATCCTGCAACATAATATCCCTTAAATTCACAAAGAGACTCCAAACTTCGTTATCTGTAACAAAATCATAAGTCTTTGCTCTCATGCATTAAGGAGTCTTAAATTATAATTCCCATTAAAGTTGAAGATACTATTTCAATCGCCAATGTTGACTTCATCCATAGTAGTAGCGTTACTATTTCCTAACTGCATAATCCTACTCCCATCGACACGTCACGGTGATATCTGTACTGAACAGCAAAAGAAGTACATTTATAGGATCTGATCTGAAAAAGATGCATTCAGCAACCATGGTCACATTCGTGCAGCAAGCAATGAGCTATACCTATTGTGTGCTACCTAGTGATACTATCTAGTTTCCCATATCTCGATAGGTGAAGTGGGGCTCTAACCAGTGACCCATCGGTTGAAAGTCATCTCCCTAAACCAATGAGTTACAGCTTCACTTGAAAAAAACAAATCTTATTTGGAATAAACAGCACGATTTTGACTAATTGAACTATAAGGCTCAATGAACAGAAATCCTCTTTTTGCCCAACAACTAACTCGAACATCCCGTGTTTTGATTTGATATTTTATGATTTGGGGAACCTGAACGACTTATTCGACAGAATAGCACAGGCTTTCTCAATTCTTAGGGAAATAAAGCATACTTAATTCCTTTATCGATTTATTTTGGCAACATATTCAATATTATCGTATGTTGACTGGATAAAACACTTTCTTCATACTGTGTTCATTCTAACACCGTTGTGAACCTAAATATCTTAGTAAATGTATGGAAAAGTTTTTACACTGGGACTAATTGATTGAACCTACTGAACCAACACTTTTTGAATAATGATCGTCAAGAATCACAACAAACTGAAGCATTGATTCTCTCAATTTTTTGATATTTGATGCCATGTGCAGAGAATTTGCTCTTGATATGACGTGTAAATACTTTACTAAGGTATGGTTCTATCTAACATGAATGTTTTTTCAGCGTAATACAATCAGCTGGCTTTACTCACTTAAAACACAAATAAACAGACAAAACCAACGTACAATCTCATACACAAGTGCATCGGTTCAAGTTGCTGCACTTCACAGAAGTACACAAAGAACACATGAATACAAAGGGTGATATCAAAGTTAAAGAAAGTTATGAGAATAAACAACTTGAAGATAATAAAGGTTAGTGCGAATATTCAAGCCTCAGAAGACGTCAGGGAGTCAATACACTTGCACCAATGTGACCAATTTTCAGCCATTTGACCAAGTGATCAACCACTGACTCTTATCGTCTTGCGGACCGCAGCCAAGTGCTCTACACCTTATCACATGGCTCAGATCAACAGTCGGAGATCTCGTAGATTCATGCCATGTGGCTCAGTGGTTTAGAGAGATGACTACTAGCCAGTGGGTCACGGGTTTGATCCCCGCTTCACCTAATGAGGTTAAGGGAGCCACGTAGTATCACTAGCTCTTACACAATAGATATGGCTCATTGTATGAATGAGCACAAGGTGGCTGAGTACGTTGCGTACATTTATTTGATCTGACCACCCTAAGCCTTTCTCCAGCTTAATCCAGCTTTTCCTAGCATTGCTTACTAACTTAAAAAGTTAAACTGCTTTAGCTCCGATACTTTTCAGTTCCCTACTTGACACACTGAAGCATATCAAATGAAAACGATATTTGCACAGAACTTAGAAGCTTAAGTATATGATAATCAGTATGATTTGTGTATTCATGACCCACCATACCAATCCTTCATATCAGCAGGTCCAGTGTTTGCTCATTATTTACATGAACATATTTGGTGTATTATGTACCTGCTTCCTAAAATACAATAATGCAGTTAAAGGAGGCTTTCAAATAATGATTTTCACTTAAACAATTATCCTGATTTAGAAGTTCATCACTGCAACTCTTATACATTCAAATATAAACTACAGACGGATACTGAGAAGATTAATCTAACTGATGAACTGAGTTCTGAGACAAGCACCAGTCCACTACACCAACTATTAGGATCACCCATAAGTCTATGCAAATAGGTAACGACTAAATCTTAAAACATTTCTTTCAGACAAAAATTTACAACAAGCAAAAGAAGTGAAGAAAACAAAGCTTAATAACACCACAAATTCCAGTGAACTCCAGTGAATACTCTGTATGCTTAGTTATAACATGATACAATGCAGGTAGAGACATAAACAAATTAAAAAGTGCGATAATAGATTAGGCATACCGACGTAGAGATGAAAAAGATTTGTAATGTGTCAATTGTATGTGTGAGAAGATCAGGAATTTTAATACAGCATTTGTGCAGACATTTATTATACAAAAACTGTTATGACTGTTGTCAGGGCAACAAAACGTTGTAGAAGGTCTATTTAATTATATGCAATCAAAACATAAAGTTTGGATTGACACGTTTATGAGAAAGTGATCATTCCTATGTAAAAATACAGAAAAAAACAGAAGCAAAGGACCACTAGTTGTTACCCGTAAGTTAAAAACATTTTACTTAGAAATTAGAATTTAACTTACCTGGAAACACGATGGCGATCAAGCCTAGTGAACCGTAAAAGATACCTCCACATATCAAGTCAACAGATGATACAGTAACATGGCCATAGCTGTCAGCATATCTTCGAAAATAAAGAAGAAATTTAAACACTGTGATTGGATAAATTAGATGGATAGAATTAAAATATGCAAATTCAAATCTTGAAAAGAAACCCTGTCTATTTCTTTCGGATGTTTTCCTTACTTATTTATTGCTTTCGGATTAAGTTCAATAAATTACAGGTGAAAAACTCTGAAACCATTTTGATGAAATAGTAATACACAATTAAGAAACTGAAGTTTAACGAAAGAATAATTTTGGTAAAAGTAGTGTGGAAAAAACTAGTGACCAAACAAACTTTTAAACATCAATCATCCAGCATGTTTCATCCTTGATGTGCTACACATTTCAACGGTAAACAATTCCTTAGCCTAATGTCTTTTACTTGTTTGAAAAATGCAACAGTGAAATGAATAAGAACTTGTTTAGTGTTAGATGAGAACAAGTCAACTGTTTCGTGAATGATACTCCACAGTCCAACAGAATTAAGTAACTAAACCCTACCACTGCAAATGTAATCCCAGAAAGCCGTTTAAATGTACTCGAATATATATATATATATATATATATATATATATATATATATATATATATATATATATATATATATATAATATCATTGGTCCCTGATCTGTTTATTTGGAATGCCAGTTTCCTTATTCATGACTAAAAATGAACCTTTCTGATGTTTTTTTAGTTTCAGTGCTCAACCCAAACAGCAGATTAAATTCACCGAACCAATTTCTCCATTTCTATTTAGAAACCATATGCGCAGTTCGTAATCAAAATGTCCTAATTCTATATCCTGAGGTAACAGTAATTGTCAACTCTTATATATGACAACAGAACAAAGCCTATTACTGTACCACAGAATGTCATTAAGCTGAAAATGTCGTAACTATGAATAAGTGTGGCATATTCAAGTGATTTCAATGACAGGTGAATACGATCCTTTTGTCTTGGTTAAGATAAGGTCTTGATATATTTTATAAACTCTTACAAATCAACTGATTTTTTCGTGCACACTTTATCTTGTGGAACGGTTTCACTTCTTAGAAAGTTACATTGCATCAGACAGGTACTAACCTACTTTCACCCTGATGAACAGTTTGTCCTAGACGTGTGCTGTTGGGATGTTTAACTGCTGTGTCATTAAACAGTCGTTTGAACTGATCGAAAAGATAGGCAAATTTAAGCGATAATCAAGAAAATGTTACTGAGACGAGAGAATGATAAATATGCCCACAAATTAACCATTCACTGAAAAAGAAAAAGGAACAATTAAAACATCAATAATGACATTGGCATTGATGTACAGGTATCTCAGGTGAAAGCGCACTAAAATAGTAAAAACAAGTCAGTTGATGTGCGGAAGTGGAAGATTTAGCTGCGACAGTATTATTAACGAAGAGCGTCAGTATAACGTCAGCAGCAAAGTAAGAGGGCTAATGCGGTGCTAAATTGTCTCCTTGATCTAATCTGCGTCCTAACTAGATGACAGAAATCCATATACGCATTTAGCTATCCGACTTTTCTGAAGCTATTGCCATGAAATAATCGCTAAACTCCAGTGGTATGAAATCCAAAGGGAGAAGAAATATGATCATACACGAGTTTTATCGCTTCGGTAAACAATTCTTTTCGTTTCTAAATGAGGATGGCCATCGCAACTAGCATTACCTTAGGAAGCATTTAAAGACTTTTAAAAAATACCTAAATTTATCTGTTAGTCATGGTGGAAGTTACCTTATTAGGGCCTCCAAAGCCGACCAAAAATGGCAAAACAAAGGGGAAATTTAATACAGATGAATTATCTACTCTAAGACAGTTATGCAGTCACAAAACAATCATCATAACCAGAGCGGATAGAGGAAATACTGTGGTGGTTATGAACTCTGCAGATTATGAAAGGAAGGCCAGGCAACATCTTGGTCCTGGTCCTTGTGGGAAAATTAACGCAACGAAAACGCGCTACACTGGATAAACTCAAAGCCCAAACCATCAAAATGTTCAGATCTATGAAAGAGAAACTAGGAACTCCACTTTGGTTCCTTTTATCACAAAAAAGCTGTAGCCTTTTCAAATTTTTTTGGCTGCCAAAAGTGCACAAGATATCCTATGACGACCAGTCGTCGATTTTACCAACTTACCAACGTACAACTTGGCAAAGTATTTGGCCAAAACCTTTAAAATGTATGAAAAAACAATAAAATATGCAGTAAAGAACTGTGAATTCAGGAATATAGGATCATGACAACCTAAATTGATAATGAAATAATAGCAAGTTTTGATGTCTACTCTTTATTTACTAATTTTCCTATTAAAGATGCATTAGACATTATAAACAATGTTCTGGTATCAGATGCTGGCCTAAATACTTATTCCCCATTAAATCCCAGTGAGATTATAAGATCTTTAAAAATATGTTTAAGATTAACATTTCTTACGTTTAGAGATCTATGCAGACAAACAGAAGGCACTGCGATGGGATATCTAGTATCCCCGATAATTGCCAATTTGTTCATGGATTCACTGGAAAATAAATAAATAAATACTCAGTTGCCTTTAGAATATGGCTGAGATACGTGGATGGTACCCTTGTTATCGTTAAGCAAGATAACTTGGACGGACTTTTCAGACATATAAACAGCGTGCCGAAAGATATCACATTCTCCAAAGAGATTGGATCCAATGTTAACTAACTGGCCTTTCTGGACTTCAGAATAGCAACAAAATGAAGATAAATATATTGAGAAAGCCAACACAATCGCAAAGATATTTGGATTATTCTTAATTACTAAATTGGTGATTGTTAAGAATCTCATCAACAGGGCTAATCGTCTAGTGACAGCGGGAGCAGACAAAAAAGAGTGGAACTTCATTCGATCTACAGTTGTAGCAAATAACTATCATGATACGTTTGTCAAAAAAATATTAGAAAATGAAGTGGAGAATAGTCCGAAATGCCCTCCAAAGAAATGGATCAACACTGTGGTGATTCCATATAGCAAAGAGACAAGAAATCAGAAAGATTTTTAACCGACATGACAAAGGTTTATTTCCATGCGACCAGTGATCTACGTTTTACTTTGATAGAGGTCAAAGACGTAATACTGACGGGAAATCAACAGAATTGCATCTATGAAATAAACTGCTGAGATTGTGATGTACTATGTGTAGGGGAAACACCCAGGTAGGTCAGCGTGAGGGTCAAGGAATATAGACTATGTCTGAAACAAATTCCAAAGATCTTAACAGACATTCAGAGACTGGAGAACAGATCAGCGATAGCAATACATCCAATATAAACGGGACATAAGATTGATTTTGATGAAACTTAAGTTCTACAAAAAGGTTTTGTGTCGAATAAAAAGATTGACTCCCGCGGCCCTACATTTATACGGGCTAATCCAGCAGCTTTAATAGATGAGACGGAGTACAGTTGGCTATACCGTGGCAAATAATGATTAATAAATAGATGTAAAAAAGCCAAACAACGATTACCAGTAATGTTCCACTTTATTCCTATTTACATTAATTCGCCACCATCATTCAAATCATCTACAATAAACGATGTGCTAGCAATTGTATCAATGTTTGTCGTTATCATCATTATCACTATTTATTCTGCGATATTAAGTGAACAAAGAAGAAGGAGAAAAAGCAGAATCTTATCAACATCAGTCTATTATTTTTTTTTTACATATAGACAAAAAAAATGACATTTCGTGCCACACACAAGTATATATTCCCCATGCATTGACAATTACGACAAGTATGACCCCTATTATTTTGTAATAACCGATGATTGAGATACAACATATACACACAGGCCCACATTCATGCATCGTGTGGATCAATGCACAACGAAGGATTATTATTCATATTGAAGAGGAATCGTAATCCAGATAAGATTGGACAATGGGATTAAATACAGGATTTTTGACCCGTTATATTTATATATATATATATATATATATATATATATATATATATATATATATATATATATATATATATATTGCAAATTGTAGACTGGTTTGTATGTGGAAACAACGAATCTGCTGAAAGCGAAAACATTTGCAATTTCTGTCCTTATAGGTACCTGTAAGTATTACAGCGTTATCCTGAAGGCTGTGCAAAATATTCGATGGACACAAAAAAAGTGAAAGGTGAGAACTACTAATGGAGGAAAACAGCGTTACCAATAATAATGTGAAAAGGGTATGGTCTGTAGTGTACATGCTAGGGTAGGGAAGCAGAGGGACGTATAAGCATGTGCTCAGTTGTTATTAGTGTAGTTTGGCGATGATTAATCACCCCCTCAAAACAGTCAACTAAGAAGGTTTGTAGGTACTTCTTTTAGCAGAGCGTTCGTCCCATAAAGCACATCTTTTGTGAAAGAAGTCAAGTCTAAATCTCGCTCTAGCTCTCCGGTGGAATAGGTTGTTTCGAGTAAAGTTCCCATTAAACTGTTAGTCTTGAATCAGTGTTGTGCACCATGGATGCTCTACTTAATACATGGTCTTAGTGGCTGTTATTAGATCGTATATGTTCCAAAAATAGGTAGAGTTGTTTTAGACGTCATGTTTTTCCCGTTAGTACTACAACTGAATGTCGCCCTTTTCTTTACCTTCTGAATTTGCACGTTTTTAGTAGAGTGGATGGCTGTTGTGGTAAACACTCAAGTGAAGTCTGATTAAAGTTTTAAAGGCCATGAGGACAACCCGAAGTTGCCTTCTTAAAAATGCATGTTGAGGTTCACTTTTGGTGCGATTCTTCTGTTTTTGGCAATATCAATCAGTTCTTAGAGCTGACTGCTTCTTTTGTTGACTGTACAACTGCACCCTAGCTATAGCCAGTCATTATAGCTTCTAGTGGTCGTAAATATATTTACGAAATATGCATAAGATGTATACATTATCTTGCGCTTCATCAGTTTGTAGGATACATTACCTCCAGCTGTCCAAGATT